ATTCACACACCTGGCACTTGGCATGAGTTTTAAGCCACCATTGTCTGGAACTGGAATCACAGTTAACTACATGAGAGTCCAGCAACATAACCATTACGCCATCTGCTGGTCCCAGCAGAAATGCTTGTAAAGGATTTTTTTTTTTTTCTTGAACTTAAAATACTCAGTAAACAGATATGCTCTCATTCCAAATTCTATTGTTCCATTTAGGAACACAGGCAGAGTAGATTTACTTATTCTTAAGGACTCTAGGGTTTTTGGGATAGTAAATAAACACTGGCTTCAACTGAAAGGCATCAACTGCATTAGCCCCTAAGAAGAGAGTCAGTCTATCCTTGAAGCCAGGCATTGGCTTCTCCTTTCTAGCTATGAAAATTGTAGATAGTGTGTTTTCCCAGTATAAGCCTGTTTTGTCTACATTAAAAAATCTATTATTTAGTATAGCCATCTTCATCAGTTTTCTTAGCTAAATATTCTGGATAACTTGCTGCAGCTTCTACATCACTCCTTGATGCTTCACCTTGCATTTTTATGTTGTGTATCTGTCTTCTTTCCTTAAACCTCATGAAGCAATCTCTGCTAGCTTCAGAATTTTCTTATACAAGTTCCTCTCAGCCTTCAGAGAATCAAAGAGAGTTAGGGCCTTGCTCTAAATGAGATTTTGACTTGAGGAATGTTGGGTCATCTACTCCGACCACTAAAACTTTCTCCATTACCATCAATCAGATTATTTTACTTTCTTATCATTCATGTGTATACTAGAGTAGCACTTTTAATTTCCTTCAAGATTTTTTTATTTTGTATTTACAATTTGGCTTACTGGCTCAAGGAACCTAGATTTTGTTGTGTCTTAGCTTTTGGTATGTCTTGCTTACTAATTTTACTTATTTTGGCTTCTGATTTAAAGTGAGAGACATGTGACTCTACCTATGACTTGAACATGCAGAGTAGGGTTATTCGCTGGCCTAATTTCAATATTGTGGTCCCTCAGGGCATAGGGAAACCCAAGGAAGGGGAGAATGATGGAGGAATAGACGGCTGGCAGAGCAATCAGAATACACACATTTATCATTTATTTTCACCATCTTTTAAAAATATGTTTATCTCCTCCATGACTATACAAGAGAGAAAAAGGAGGTAAGGGTGGAAATATTGATTGGAGTCAGATTATGGCCATGTTTGGATGCAAAGGTGAGAGATTTAGACTTACTTTATAATCAGTGGGGAGCTATTGAGAATTTGGAGGTAATCGAAGTAGTAACAAAGGAAATTAGTCTAGGATAGTGGTGTATGGGAAGGATTGAAGCTGGAGGGACTTGTCAAGGTATAAAGAGATGAGGGCAATGACAGTGAGAATGGAAAAGGAAGAGATAATGACCAGAGATTATGTCTGATTTGGAAATCACTCCTTTGTTTGGAAGGAGGAGAGAGAGGTTGGTTGTGTCATTCACCCACGTGTCTCTCACAGTTAGAGGTTAGTCCTAGAACAGGTCCAAAGCAGATATTTTGAACTGCATCAACCCAGCCTTGCTTCAGGGTTCAGTGAAAGCTAGGGAAAAATAGAATTTAAGTATTTTGAGAGGGCTTCCAGGAAAGCCTTCCAACCTGTCAGGTTCTGTGCATTATCCATCTTATTACTTGTCTTCTAATAGCTTATATGTGCTAATTGCAACATTGAAGAATATTTGTGAAAAGGTACACATTAGCCTATACAGGTTGTTGAACAGAGTTGATATGACTGTGGGATGATATTCTGCCCAGAAAAGATAACTCATGTGCTGACCTGTATTGATACATTCTGGCATGCAAACAGACAAGGGCTTTCAAATGCATAAAAGAGGGAAGCTCTCAAAAGCCAGGGGTCTTGGTGGTTGGACCAGAAAGTCATGTATTTGGGCCAAGGGATCTTTTATGAGACTCTGGGATCAAGAGAACAATAATTGGACTTTACAAGGCACATTTTTCTGAGCTAAGAAACATTTTTCCTCTAATGTCACCTCTACAAAGCACAGTGATTTCTGTTTTGTTCATTGATATATCTGCAGTATCTGGCACATCATAGGCATTTGATATACATTTAATGAATAAATGAATCTGCCAATAGTTCTTATGGATGAAAGCAGCATATTAACCTAAGAAGTGGGCTTCTGAAGTTGTTGAAGTCGTGTAGATAAAGGAATTGTCAGTACAGCTTAGGTTGTATAGGATACTAAACTGCAGTGTTGGAAGCCACATGGCTGATCACAGGTTCAGATTTCCAGATCAGCTTGAAAACAGTTATGGCATGAGAGAGGTACCCAAGATCCAGAGGAGATTGAGGGCTGGGGAAAGAGGATCATAGCAGGATGAAACCTTGTTGAGGGTACATATATGCACTTTTGCACTTGTGTGCTCATTCTCTCTTTCTCTCTTGTGCATGTGTTCTCTATCATAATTTTTTTAAGGTATTTTTTTCTCAAATGCTCCTCACAAGGAGTCATACTACCAAACCTCATATTGTTTATCACTTGTAGTAAAGGGCAGCTAGTAGCATATTGAAGACACAAAACTGATCTTGTGGAAACTGGAAAGAGATTTCTAGTAGGGCATTTGCAGAAGATGAAAGGTTATTAGAGTAGATAAATTTTATACATTTGACTATATATGCAAAATGCATTAAAACAGAGTGAGCCCTTCTTGCTTTGACCTGTAGCAAATAAGTGAAATATACACTGAAGTCATCTCCAGGCTCACTGAGTGGTAAGTGGATAGTAACCCCACACCCTCATCAGCTATGAGGGA